CTTACAGTGGAGGGGCTCTGCTCCCCTGGTCCCTGCCTTGCAGTGCATCCACTCGAGAGGAGAAGCTGCTTGTGAAGACCAAGGCAAGAAGTTGTTCAGTACCTCAGCTGCCTTCTTGGCTGCTGTTAGCAGTTTGGGGGTGTGCTTTCTCTGACCTTCCCGTTCTGGTTTACATACCTATTTTTCTTTGCATCCCTTACCAAGTTCATCTTCAGCCACACCTTGGCCTTCCTGAGCCCATCTCTACACAGCCAGGGAGCATCCCTATACTCTACCCGTGAAAGCTTCTGCCTAAAAAAATACACTGCACATAAATACACATAGAAAATAAATATATATATATAATAACCCCACCCTGCAATACCTAGATGGAAGTGGATCCAGGGAGATACTACAACTGCTCTGTATCTTACTAGATAGCAAAGTTTCTCCACACAGTATTTGTGAAGCAGTGGCAAGCTTCCTTTGGCTGTGTTGTCAGGGCTGTTCTGCAAACAGCTGCAGAAACCTCAAGGCAATATTGAAACAGTTTCCTTTAAATCACTGTTACTGGTTCTATTAAACCCTACTATCTGCAACTACAGATCTGCTGTACAATCTTTTCTGTCTTTTCTGTTACAGTAAGCAGCTTAAGCATGAGCTGCACATGATTTTGTGTTTTGCTCTTGAAACTCGTACATGAGTAACTGCACCAGTTTACAGATGTGCCTCCAAGTATACTGTGCCCCCTTGAACTGAGACCATAGCAAGGCGATTGCTGGACACTTCTGGTCTCTGGCCAACATAATTAGAGATAAAAAGCAGCAATGGTAAAGTTACAAGAAAATACAGCAGCTTACATGAGATGAGAACAAAAGCAGCTACTGGAGTGCTGCTTGTGACACCCTGACACGTTCTGCCACTGGCCTCACATTGTAATTGCAAGTGTATGAGGACACTGGTGTCAAAGCTGGTTTGTATTCAGTGTAACTAATTACACAAGTAGTTCTTCAAAATTAACAATGGGAGTCGTATGGTGAGAGTATTGCAAGAATACTCGAATCCAGGCCGTTTTAACCATGGTGTAACTTGTGCCTCAGCAGTTATATCAACACAAGGTGGCCTACGGCAGCACTCTCCTCCTCTCCAGCCTGCCCCTCCTTCCAGGGGGTGCAAAGCATTTACTGCTGTTTATTCTCTTCTGAACACCCCTGTTCTCACCCTTGCTTCCCCACATTCAGCATGGGCCTGTGCCCCACCCAGCCCCCCCGCTGTCAACCGTGGCCAGACACAAGCAGCTGCAAGAAGTCCGCACTGTCCCCACATCACTTCCCTTCAATGAAGGGCTGGGGTGGCAGCGGGGAGAACCCAGGGAGCCGCAGGCATGGCACTGTTACTATTTCTCAGCTTTCCATCAACCTCTTCCCCCTTTGTTCCAGGTGAGGGGGATTACTTGTGGCATCCAAAGCCCTGCACACAGGTCAAGGATCTGCCACCATATTTGTTTGCCACCATTAAGGCTGACCAGTATTTGAAGCACTGGAGCAAGTTACTACACTGAGGTTTCTCCAGGTACTCTCCTCTTCAGTTTGCTCCACCAGCTCTCATAACTGACTTGAGAATGAGCACAAACAGGCACTGAACTCAACTATCAGTCACAACAGCTGCCAGCCTGGACTGCAGCATAAGCTGTGGTAATTCAGATGCATTCTAAAAGTTTACAACAACTATTAATAAAGACTCTGCTGAAATTATCTAATCATTTTTTGGATTGATTCACTGCTCCGCAAAAAGACTCCAAATCCAAATAGCATTTGGCTGGGAGCTTCCATCTGCTAGAAGTGTCACAAAATGCTGTTCTGCATCCAACCTTCTTGCAGTTTTCTTCAAGAAAAATGGTGCCTGTGCAGAGTTAGTGCTTTGACTTTTGGAAGCTTTAACCAGAACACTCTCCTGAAATACCTAAATTTAATACAACTAAGTACCAGGGACAATTAATTGCAGCTTGAGATCATTAGTCTTCTGCTGCTATGAACAGTGACAATGAGCAGCAGTCCAACTATTACGCTTACTGATCCCTGAAGGGGTAAGAATCCACAATGATTTTCAACACCCAGCCTGCAAACCATCCTGCAGGAACCTTTCAGTCTGCTATGGCCATATTTAAATTCGATATTTAAAGTAGAAGGCAACTCACAGTTAAAAGCCACACAAGAGTCTGACTGAATGAACATCCATCCCGTTTTCCAGGTTCATGCAGCCACAAGCACTGAAAGCTTCACAAGCAGCTGAAGATCATGCTGAGATGCCCCTTTCCTTAGCTATGGCAGTACCATTCTGGTGCACACACTGTATTTTTATAACAGTTTCAAGAATCCAGATCTGTTCATACCAAATGCATGGAAATTTTGCAAGTGGCTCATGAAGAAGCAATTAATTTTTTACTGCACATATTCTAATCCACACATTTTGTCATGATCCTTACTGGAGTTCTACTCTTCCCTAAACTGAGTTCCTAACTCAGTGACTGGTTACACACAAGCCAAGCAAAGCCTCTGTGCACAGGTATGCAAGAGTTACTGAATTTTAGACTGGGCAAAAACACAAGTCTTGATCATGCTATGGAAGCAGCCTATAGCTGTCAGCTAAACCTTCTGCAAAACTTTGGCAAAAAAAGGTTACTTGCAGGTTCTGGTTCTATTCTTCAAGTTGTGACTAGGAATCGTTTTACTTGCACCTCTTTGTCCTACTACTGCCTTTTTCTCACCTCTGCAGTAAATGTAGTTCTTTCATGGCTTGTGGGTCTTCCCTGGCTTCAGCTTCACAGCACGCAGGCATCAAGTGCATCGTGTGTCCAGTAACCTGTAACTGAACTACATGAGTCACAGTGGCAGGCACCACTGAACTCATCAGCCTTAACGGCAAAGTTTAAAAACACAAATGAAATGGACGACAGACTTGGAGAAATGCAACAGATGTTGTAACAACGCTGAATAAACCTCCCTACACTGCCCCTTACTGTACTCAAACTGGAATTCTGAAACAGCAAAACTTTAGAAGGAAATGAACCTTGAAATTATACTGTGTTTCTCTATCCCAATTAAGGGTATTTAACTGCAGAACTTAGTGAGTACACAGGACATCCATGTGAGGCCTTTATCTACCTGAGAATGGACATGAATCACAGAATATGAGGAGCTGGAATGGACCTGGAAAGCTCCCCCAGTCCAACCCCTGCCAGAGCAGGATCACCAGACCAGGTCACACAGGAACACGTCCAGGCGGGTTTTGAATGTCTGCAGAGGAGACTCCACAACCTCTCTGGGCAGCCTGGGCCATGCTCTGGCACCCTCACACTGACAAAGTTTGTCCTCATGTTCAGACTGAACCTCCTGTGCTCCAGCTTGCTCCCATTACCCCTTGTCCTGGCATTGGACATCACAGAGCAGAGCCTGGCTCCTTCCTCCTGACGCTTGCCCTTTACAAATTGATAACCATGAATGAGGGCACCCCTCAGTCTCCTCTGCTCCAAGCTAAAGAGCCCCAGCTCCCTCAGCCGCTCCTCAGAAGGGAGATGCTCCACTCCCTCCATCATCTTTGTGGCCCTGCTGGACTCTTTCAAGCAGTTCCTGTCCTTCTTGAACTGAGGGCCCAGAACTGAACACAATATTGCAGATGCGGTCTCACCAGGGCAGAGCAGAGGGGAAGGAGAACCTCTCTGCCCTACAACCACCCCTTCTCATACACCCCTGGATGCCATTGGCCTTCACATCAAGTGAGGGTAAACCCTGTAGATTTTGCATCAACTATATTACCCTGCAGTACATAAATTGAAGGTTACTCTGCATCATGACTGTGAGAAACATAAAGAACAACCTTCTGGAGGCCCCATGATGTCACTCTCACCACTGCTACACAGAAATTTCAGCTACATTAGAAGCTGCCAGCCTTTTATCTTAAGGCTCCCAAATGTAATTAGTGCTTGCTTTTTCCTCTTAATTGAGCTAGAATCTGCAAAAATATCCTGCTCCCAATTACTGCTAGATAGGCCACATTAAAGTGCGGTCAGTGTTTAAGTGTAATGGAATTTTTAATAGCAATTCAAGAGGTTAAATACCCTTTATGAATGTCATTTGATTTACAGGAGCACGGTACTTTGATTTACTGGGGTACTGCACAGCCCATTAGTCAGCTGAAGAAACTCACTGAAGGAATCTCTTACAAGTACACCAGAGGCCACTACTTGTAACTCCAGGTGAGGGAGCCTGCCTTTCACTGCACATTGCCAGCAAAATGAGAACCAGAGCCAACTCCACCAGTCACAGCATAAACACAAGCTACTCCCTCCCCTCAAGGCAAGTCCCTTTGTGATCTCTAGTAGCTTTTTGTGCTCCACTTTTTCATCTCCCACAACAGAGAATACAGTATTCAGTCTAAAGCACTTCCAGCACTGGCAAAACCAAGGAGACACCACAGTTTCATCATTACAAATACATCACCTTTCAACAGTTAAAATCCAAGTATCAATGAGGAAAAAAATTTCACTAGGGACAAGGTTCTAGCAAGTAAAGTATTTTGAGTATTTAATAGATGACATTTCAAGCCTGTACAATGCAACATGATTTAACTGTTTCATGGGGTATTTTAGCCAACTTGAGAACAGGCAACTAGGTAATAATCAGTGCCACTTGATTAAGAAACATGCAGGTGACCTGGGGACAGTTCAAGGCATTAGGAGGTTAGAAGTAAAAAGCACACACTCACTGATAAAGCACACACCGGACCACAACGCAAACTCTGACCACTTCTCCAGCAGAATTCAGTTTTCCTTTTGTCACAGCAAATGTTTTGTATAATCTTGCTGGTGACCCGATTTAGAATTAAATTTGCATGCTAAGACAATGATTAGAAAAAGAATCTCGAGATGGTCCCAGTCAAAGTCAACTCACACCGATGTTTCCTTCTGTAAGTACACTAATTGTCAGTCAGAGCTTTCCTACTGGGAGACATTCAGAAACAAGTCAAGTATCACAATGTTTATTGATAGATACAAGTATATAAAATCAGGGCATGAACATGTCTTGATAAATTAAGTAGACTTAATTTCAGTAATATAATAGAGGGACCAATTCAGATTTCTCACCATGTCTCTTGTTTCACACCCACAATAACTTCTTCCAAAGGGCATTAAACCATCTCTTTAGCTGATCAGTTTTTGTGCAAGTAAACTGTTTTTTTGAAAGACTTGTGCACTTGCCCAGGCTCAAGGATATTAAAACCTAGCACATAAAGCCCATTACTAGAGGTAGAAATACAGGCAATATACTATTACGGCAACAACCATCGATTACAGTTAAGGATTCTCTGTAACAACCAAATGGATAATCAAATATTGCAACAACTCAAGTATTACACTGAGCAAAGTGCATTTCTACAGTATTCAGTGTTGCTATTCAGTTTTCTAACTTAAAAACAGCCTATGATAACTGGCAGCAAAGAAGACCCTTGCAACAGACTGCTTCTGCTCAAGACCTTATGATGTAATTATTGCATGCTGCTAATACACTGTTACCTACACATTAAAGATACTCTAAAATATTTTTATTGTAGACTATTAAGACATACTACAAAAACCTTTTGCGGAGGACATCCTATTGACATACCTCTGCTTTAAATATTGTGAAACATTACAGCGGAATGAATTTTCGCAGTGGTTAGGTCAAACGCAGTTACATCATAGCAACAGTATGTTTGCACAACTTAAGGCTTTGGCTGGTTCTTCAGTCAGCTTCTTCTTCAGATTCTTCTTCTTCAGCAGTTTCCAGCCAGGTTAGCCACTGGTTTACCTGCAGTTACATAAAACTTGTTTAAAGCAGCTGCAATTATTTCCCCAGTGTAGTTCTGTAGAACACTGCTTCCCCCCCCCCCAACTAATTTTAAAAATCTTTCAGCCACACTTTGCACTAAATATAAGCCTCTAGTGAAGAAAAAGTTCATCTTGCCTACTCCTTCCTAGTGAGCCACTCCATTAAGTTTCTGCATATTAATATCTCTTAAACACTGTTTGAAAGCACTCTCAAACACTCAGTGCAACAGAGATCACAAGAGACAAACCTCTACTCTAATGTTACCAAATTTACCTGGAATAAAGCTTTGCCTTTCCCTGGAAACTCTTGAGTAATATCTTCTTTCCATGCCAAGAAGGCTTCTTCTTCAATGATCTCCATGTCATAGAAATGAACAAAGAAGCGCAGTAACATGCCTGTGGAAGCACATTTAAACTCTGTTAGCTTTACGACCTTCTAAACATCCTACTCGACTCTTTAAGAAATGTACTGACAAATCTGAAAGCCATACATGGACACAAGCAAGCTGACAGAACTTTTGGGTAAGATCTTGATGCACCCACCTTTTGGGAAGTTATTGTTGTAGCAGTGCACCTGGAGCGCATATAAAGCGCTCACTTGCAGATCAACATGGTCATGGAGGAACTTCTGCATTACTGGCTTGAAGGAAAGCAGCAGCTGTTTCTCCTGCTCTAGCTGCTCTTTCGATGGAGCAGATGAAGAATCCGATTCATCACTAGGTGGGTTTACTTCACTAGAAATATACTGCAAGAAACTGGGCCAAGAAAAAAACCAAGAAAGTTCTGTGAACTAAGACACACCAGCTGTATTTCATGGTCTAAAACACAGAGACAAGCACTCAAGCTCAGTCTGCAAGCTGTTACTAGAAACACCCTCCTGCTTGTATCAGCAGTTAGGTGCACCCACAGTGCATTACCAGTACTATGGTTGACTGCAAAACAAAAATCCTAGTTTTGCTTGTTATGGCCCTGAAGTGTTTTAGAAAGACTACACAGGTCTAGACTTTTCCTTCCCAAGCAAAAGCAACACTTCACACTGATGCAAGCCTGGAGACTTTTCTTCTCAAATACAATGGTTGTTTAATACAGATGAGGTTTGCCCAAAACAATTTGCCTCCCTATGTTACTCATCATATTTCTGTGCAGAGAGCTACATGTCAGCTTTTACAGTTAGTGACTTATAGGTAGCTTTACAAAACGTGCCTGAACTGCATCAAGACATCATCTCACCTGGTCATCAATATATTCACAAATCCCTTATCTACATGAAGTCTGGGTGAAATGTTATCTTTAATCCACTTATAGATGGCTTGAGGGGATGGATCCGATTTTATTTGCTTTAGCAGTTCCTTCTCCAGTTTCAGAAGTGGGAACAAGAAGCTAAGCCCCTTCCCTTCTAAGATCTCCAGCATGCGGTCCTTGTTCTGGTCAATTTCTGACAAGTAAATAAGAAAGATACACTTAAGTGCTGGTACTAAGTAAAGCCTATCATCAACGGTTCACAGGTCTAACCACCTCTTCAGAAACACCATTTTAAAGAATCATGGCAGTTAAGTGCATCAGAACACCCTCATGTGTTATCTTACTCTGGTGTAAAACAACAACAAAAAAAACTAGAGGAAAAAAACACCTTCCATACACTAACATGAGGTGTCATAAAAGCTGTGTACTAACTCTTACCTGGTAACATTTTCTGCATATTCACTTTGCTTTGTTGGAACAATTCTGTTAGCCATTCACGATCTTGTAACTTAGCTAACTGCTGAAGGCAAAGCAGGAAGAGAGGGAAATGGGTGCCACTTTCCAGTGGTTGAGCCAGTTCGGAAACGCTCACCAGTTCTGAAATAATAGCACGGGCTGCAAACTGTGCTAAGTAGGATTTCACCAATGGGATGTCCACCTCCAGTTTGGGGCACTGGTCCTGAATGCCTAAGAAACAGTTGACACACACAAGTTGAAATTCTGAAGTAATTTTGTTCTTGTGCACAGAAATACTCTTACTACACAGGAGCCTCACATTTCTGCATTGAAATCACTTGCTAACAGGTTCCCCATTTCCAGTTCCACAAGTCCTGTACCTGCATTTCTTCCTTTAATCACTTTTTATGCCCCCTTCATAATTTTACACTATTTTTTTACCTCTGCAGATCAACAGGACATAGAAAAAACTGCACTCTGTCTGTATACAGCTAAGTATCACGGACAGCCACGCAACAAGGGCTGCGAGCCTATGAGACTGCAGTACCTGCATGAAGTTGTCACTTGTGGCTATTCCCTCCTGCTTGAGCAAGCTGATCAAAGTACTTGCTTTCTCTTTGTCTTCATCTGATCTATCTAGGGATTGAATGATTACTTTGCTCAACATCTCAGGAATGAAGTGTTTTGGAGCTCTCATTTCTCTCACAGTATTGACAGCATCATTGGCATTTCCATTGTTCATATACTCAGTCACAACTGCTTCCTAAAGGGAAAAAAGTGTAAAAATAAGCAAACATTCATTTTCAAAGAACACTTAGAGCTTCTTGAAGTATTACATGCCTAACTTACAGTTTGTTTAAGTAGCTCTTCTTTAGAAGGAGGTGGTTTCTTGGTGGTCTTTGCAGGCTTCTCTTGTATAAGTGGTGGATTTGTTTTAAGACCAAGTTGAGGAGGCTGGAAGACAGTACCGTAATTTGTTTGCAGCACATCTACCTACACTTACATCAAGCTTAAGAACACCAACTACGTACACAGGCAGATGGAAGTCAAATTATTTTTTCAGGCAGACTTTCCATATATCCTGCTCAGCGCAATGAAAGACTTCTCTCTCTCCCCTCCCATATTAGAAGCTGGTCTAAGTTTTAGTTGCATGGAGAAATTAAGTATAGCCAACAGTGTACAGTTATTTTTATATTTACCTGTCCCAAAGGTGGTGTCTGAGTGCGTGGTGGTTGAGCACTGGGAGGAATCATAGTTATCTGGGGCTGAAGCTTTGGCACTTGGTTTTTATTCATTAGAAAAGTCTGAGCAGGTCTCAGGCTAATCTGTAAACAAATGTCAGAAAAAACTCAAACTGTTTCAAATATTCTGTCCAAGGACACACAGCCACAGACGCACACCAACTGAACCCACTGCAGCATGACTCTTCCATTTCTCTGTTAACACTCTAAACACAGATTAACCACGTGTACTGAAATTCCCCCAAAAGCACGACTCAAAGAATCACAGCTTGCTACAGGTTACTGGTATTTAGTTCCACTGGTATCAAGATTTGGAATTGCTCCTTTTAGATGCAGTATGTTAGAGACCCAAGAAGATACTTAGTATGTTCGCTGCTGTACTTTACAGCCAAGATAAAACTTTGCCAATTGCTCAGAAATCACGATTCAAGTCTAGTTAACACTTGAAATAACAGTGCAGTTTACTTTGCATTTGATGTTTTGCCTGTTAGGTAGGTTCTTAAGGGGAAAAAAAACCAAATTTTGCCTGGTCCACCACTTCAGGGTTTCTAAAGCTTAGGATTTTTTAAAAACTTTAATTAAATGTATTGCTGTCAGTATGATGCATGGGAACTGATGTCAGAGTAGTGTTCTTGGGGAGGTGTGGGAGGAAGGAAGGGACTCCCCAGGAAATTGCCCTCATATCTCAGTCTTGCTCATAGGACGCTGGATACCCTAAGGAAAGTGACGGGTAAGGTGAAAGAGGAAGGGGCAAAGAAGGAGAAGGAGGAGAAAGAGTTCCAGCATTAGTCCTCATAATAACGCGTCTTGCTATAATCATTGGGCAATATTTAGAATAGGCTTTAAGTAATGTAGGCATGTAATGTACCTCATCTGCATTAAGCTGTCCTTTCTTAGAAAACCGAGGTGGCATATCCTTCGACTGTCCTTGTTGCTGGGATAAGAGTCCCTGATTCTGGTTATGGTAGAGCTGGTTTTGCCCCTATTTCAGAAAGGGAGATATAGAGAAAGAAGTGCAGATGATGGAGTGGCGTACATCATATGGTAAGTAGTACCAGAGGGACCAGAGGAACAAAGATTCTATTTGCCAGGAAGGGAGAAAGAAGGAGCAGGGGTGGTGGGAAAGTAGCATCTATCCCTAAAAACAGGGCTATCTTTTAAATAAAACACACCATTCTGACCCACCAAAGCCACATGCACCTTTTCTTGCAGTAAAAAATAAAAGTGTATTCCTTGCATCTCTTGCACAATTTAAAAAATGGTTCAGAATTTTTGTATCAGCTGAGCATCAGTTCTTATTGGAATCAAATCTGAGGAAGCCTTTCAACATAAGCAGACTATAATCCATAACATACGCATCTGCAGAAGAGCTTCTAAACATGCTGAAGTCGCTCTGTGAACATCATCTTCCTTACCGGACTTTTCAGAAAAGATTTGCCTAGTTCTCCAAACTGGGGTTGAGCAGAAGGCATGAGGTGACCCCCATGGCCATTGAAAAGTTGGTTTGCACGATGGCGTCCCATGGTGGGTGAAAATCTATCCTGAATAACCCCTGGACCAGTACCAATTCCGCTACCTGTGTAATAAGGAGACAAGACAATTTTAGCTCTTGTTCAGTACAGCACAGGCACAGTCATCACACAGGCCATGCAGTTTCACTATACCTGGCATTTGTCCAAACATATCAGCAAGCCCTCCAAGTGGGTCCCTGTCAAGTTTCATCCTGGGTGGCATGAAGGGTCCCTCCAGAAAGAAGTCGCTTCTCATCCCTTGAGACATAGGAGCAGGAATAAAAACTCCTAGATCCTTTAAAACAGAAGTTATAATTTTAGTCAGTTTGGAATAAGTCCCTGAGAAGTAAAGGTTTTAGCCCTGAACTATAAAAGTCCATCTGACTTTAACCCTTAACCCCTTACTGTCACTCTGCTGTGAGAACTACTTTTAAGTGCATGGCAGTTGTTTTGTGGCATGCAGTAAACAGCGTAAGGATTTACTTTAACACTTAAGCAAAGGCCAAGAACAAGACTTGACATGCAACGCTTACTTTTACTGCATCTTGACGGATTTGATTGATAGTCTTTGGTCCATTGTCAAGAAAAGCTTTGCGAGGAACCCAGTTGTGTTCTCTCAACTCCACAGTATCCTAGGAACACAACGAATTATTAGGAAAGGATTCAAAGCAACTTTGTGAGAAAAAGCAGTAAGCAATTTTATCATCATACCTGCAGCAGGAAACGAATCCTTGCTGGCAATTCCTTACTTGACATCAAGGAGCGCATACGGGCAAAGTACTGATCCATTAAGGACTGAGGGAACAAGAATGGTGTTACAAGTGAGGGCTAATCCTACCAATGTCTTCCAGTATTTTCAGGAAAAGTGACCTCATTTGAGACATCCAATATCAATTAATAGCACAGAGCCCTTTCCTGCTATCTCTACCTCCTCTGATGGCAGCAGATGTCAAGGAAAGCAAATACAAGAAGACATCTCATCTGAGTCGAAGATGATATTCTCATTACCATTTCAAGTTTACATTCAGAACTTGCAAGTCAAGTTCCAAATTACACCTGTCAGATCACTCAGTTGTGCTCAGAAGAGTTTCTCACTACATCTTTTCAAGCAAGATTTACAGAAACAACGTTCTCACTTTTACGACTTCCTAATGACCATAACTGCATTCTGGAAAGACTTGTTAAACCATTTCTAGGATTGGCCTTTTTTGCTATGAAGAGATTTGATGGAGGAGCAATAGCTGGCACTCTTGCTCTTCGAGTCAGACCTCAGTTTTGTCATTATGACTAGAACTCTGAATGCAGAGGGTTCAGGCAACCAAGTCTTAGCCACAGAATTTAACTAGTTTAGTGACTGCAGTGGATATGCACATACCTTGGCTTTTGCATGGTCTAATCTAGGTCCCACTGTCCTCATTATCTGACAGAGGCACTCCAAATCCTCCCCCATATCTTTGAGTTGGACTCTCTTCTTCTTTTCCAAAAGCTGAAATAATTAAGGAAAATTGGTTATTCCGACATATTATAAATGACAACTTTGTACACAGGTACATACAGCAATATTTCATCTTGTTCTGAAGATAAATGGACTTGAAAGTTAGTTTAAGAACTGCTAATTGAAGTAGTTAATAGTCCTAAGTGTATGTACTTTCTGGTACTTTTGTCTAGGCCAAACTACACCTTCACTTGGAGACAAAGCCCACAGCTTTAAACAAAGCCCATTTTACTGTTTAATCACACCACAAGACTGTTTTAAACTGTGGAGCATACAGAATTGACAAGAGACATTTTTGTGCTGTTTTATGCTCCAAGATAACCAAAGGAGGATAATTATTCACATCTTTTAGTTAAGAAGTCCCAATTTGCTCTTAGCGCCCACCTAATCTGCATACTCACTGTTTTGATGCACTTATGAAGGATAGATTCATGAATAAGATCAAGCTTGCCAAGTTCTCCAATGAATTTGATGTTCCCCAGCATCTTGATCTTGGCAATGGCTCTCTGTTCCTCTTCCTCAGGGAGGAGGGGACCATCATGCTTATCATAGACTGGGAAACAAAAGAAAGCCTAGTTAGCATGGCTGTGAAAAGGAAGATAAATAAATTCTGTATTAAAGTGGTTTAAAGCTTACTATCAACATTTCTGGTTCGGTTTTCAAATTCATCTTGAAGTTTAGATATTAGGAGGCGTCTGAATGTCTAAGGGAAGAAAACAAAGGGAACAATTCAGCCATCAGCACAACTATACGTGCTAACAAAATTTATCACTCCATATTTGAGAGAGAGACTCACTGTGCTTTGCTTCTGTCCTGGATGACTCTCTGCTGATGGGCCATCAAAGTTGGGTGCATCTTCTGCCAGTCGCAGACATAGTTGAGCATACAGTGAGCTATACTTGGGCTCTTCAAGGGCTTTGTCTACGATCTAAATAAATTTATTTTGAGAAAGGTAGCACTGAGTAGGATGCAAATGTTACTAGGAAAGTGAGCTGCAATATTCCATTCCACAACAGAGTATTACCACTCTGTAATTAATATCTGACTATTTTTTGCTATTTCAAACATACAGAAATAATGATGTTAACACTAGTCTTAGTGCTGAAGAACAAAGCAAAAAAGCTGCTCTATGCTACCGAAGAGCTTCTATAATCCTTAGCCAGTGAAGGGACAAATGTGTCGTTTATCACCCTAACACTGAAGTTACTATCACCAATCTGATCACAGATGAAACAAAGTGATGCAACAGCTTAAGCAGTGTACACCGAGAGGTCACCTGTGGTAGCTTTACCAAGACCATTAGGTTTGTTCATCAGGAAAACAAAGAGGGGGCGTGGGGGCAATGAAGTAAGGCTGCTAACTGGCATCCTGGATTACCAAACAAACAATCTCCAATCATCTTTATGGATTCTTGAGACTTCTAAAGTACAAAGTCAGAACGTGGAGTCTACCTCCTCCTCAGTATATCCTTTTATACACAAAAAGCA